ACCCGTTTGTCACGCCAACTTTTGCCCTCCCCTATTTCTTATAGCGAGACGTGGGTGGCATGTGGTCTAAACCACTGAGCCTAGGGCTTTCTGATCAGAAAGTCGGTGGTTCGAATTTCCACGATGGGCTGAGCGCCCGTTGCTCGGTCCCTGCTCCTGCCAATCTAGCAGTTCGAAAGCACGTCAAAGTGCAAGTAGATAAATAGGTACCGCTCCGGCGGGAAGGTAAACGGCGTTCGCCAGAAGCGGCTTAGTCATGCTGGCCACATGACCCGGAAGCTGTATGCCGGCTCCCTCGGCCAGTAAAGCAAGATGAGCACCACAACCCTAGAGTTGTCCGCGACTGGACCTAACAGTCAGGAGTACCTTTACCTTTACCTTTATTCCTTATAGCAGGTTGGCAGGGGACATCACATCATCGGATCAATGTATTTGCTTGTGAAGCCATGTGTAGTACCTGCTGTGCTTTTGAAGTGCATGCTGCCTGTGTATTGCACTGATCTGAGCATTAAAGATTTTGGTAGAAGCAGCAACAGGAGTTCAAGTTCTTCATCAGGTGGGAGCCAGGACATGTGCACTTCTTTACACATTATTTTGCTGGGAAGCTGCACCACAAATTTCTTTTTTTTAAAATAATATTTTTTATTAATTTTCAGCAAAAGAAAAAATAAACAAAACATTTCCACTTTACAAATTTTCTCCTTTTTTGGACTTCCATCAGCCATTCTGACAATCATCCGAATTAGACTTTTTAGTTACACATTTCCTACATTTCATATTGTCTTTTAACAAACCTATCCTCACCTGTTTTCCTTTCTTACAATATTTCTTTAAGTTTTTACAGAGCTTCTTTAAGTGCCGCAAACGTTATTTCATTATCACTTAAGCCTCCCCAATACTCAACAAATTTTCCCCAGTCCTCGATAAACTTTTGATCTCGTTGGTATCTGATCTTCCCTGTCATTTTGTCAAGTTCTGCATAGTCCATCAGCTTCATTCTCCACTCCTCCAAAGTAGGTACTTGTTCCTGTTTCCATCTCTGCACCACAAATTTCAGAGAAGTGGAAAGGTGGATTGTATTCACAATTGTTACAGCTCTCGTGACTATCTTGAATTGCAAACAAAATATTGAATATTGGGCAAAGTTCTTGAATGGAAGCAATCTAATTTTAGTAAGCAGATTAAGGCAACATAAAAAATTAAAACCTAAGGCAACTTACTGCCTATCACCTAACGGCCAATTTGCATGTGTTAACTGACTTCATCCTTGAAAGACATCTGAGCATCCCCTGTGATAGGCCATCTGCGAAAGTATAGGATTCCTCTTTGTTTTGTTCTTTTCTAAATGGATAGCATTTATAGCTTTTGTGTGCACTCACTTTTCCCTAAGTTTCTCACTTTTAGTTTTGTTTATGTGCCATTGTACTTCCCCCAAAGTTTGGTCAACTCCTGGATTAGCAGGCCAGACTTTTACCAGCAAGAATTCTACACGTTCTTCTCTTGTGGAAATATATTTGATATTCTGGTTTGTGTCCTTTGTGTCAGAAGAAATGATTTTGAGGTCAATAGGAGTTCACTAGTGCAGAAGAAGTGGTGGCTTTCCTTAATCGTACTAACAGCCCTGATGGATCTTTTTATTTAAATGTCAGAATTGTAATTCGTAAAGATGCGATTTTGAAAAGCCTTCTACTGATAGCTTGTCATACACAAACAGCATTACAGAAACTTGTGAGACTGCTCATTTTCATAGCTACTTCACTTTTGAGATATATGGCAGATTATAGAGGGTTTTGGTTTTTTTATTTCTTTGATATCTTCCAACGTAAGTCTCTTTTTCAGCTTTCTGCTACTCTAATTCCACACCTTGTCTCTTTGGTTCATTACCTCTTTATGCCTATTTAGCTATTTCTATTTAGGAATCCTGTATACTCGAGGAAACTCTGATCTGGAACTGCAGTGAATGAAAGCTTCCGTTTTGGATTAATGCATACACTTAGTATCAAATAGTCCCATGGTGTGCAGTCTTTGGACTAGGGCAGGGGTAGGCAAACTAAGGCCCGGGGGCCGGGACCAGCCCAATCGCCTTCTAAATGCGGCCTGCGGACAGTCTGGGAATCAGCGTGTTTTTACATGAGTAGAATGTGTCATTTTATTTAAAATGCATCTCTGGGTTATTTGTGGGTCCTGGCTGGTGCTTTTACATGAGCAGGATGTATGCTTTTATTTAAAATGCATCTCTGGGTTATTTGTGGGTCATAGGAATTTGTTCATTATTATTTTTCAAAATATAGTCCAGCCCCCCACAAGGTCTGAGGGACAGTGAACCGGCCCCCTGCTGAAAAAGTTTGCTGACCCTTGGACTAGGGGGACTAGGCTAGTCCCCTAAATGTTCCCCTGGCACCTCCTTCCCAAAGCCTGGGAAGCTTCTGTCCGGCTTAGGGAGGGAGGCACGATGCTCTGACGGATCCAGGAAGCCGCCTGCCACCTTCCCAAAGTCCACCTGGCTTTGGGGAGGAGACAGGAGGGATCCAGCATCCTGTCACAGGCTTCGTGCCTCCTTCCCAAGGCCCGGGAAGTCTCTGCCTGGCTTAGGGAAGGGGGCGTGATGTCCAGTGGGCACTGCCCTCACAAGCTGGCGCCTCTGGCCCTAACTGTTCCCCTACAGAAAATTTCACTGCACGCCACTGAAACAGTCATAATTGTGGGGAGTGGTTGGATGCTCAGGCATTCCTCTTAGAAATCTAATTTATTCCTGTTGTATGACCTGCAAAATTCTACACCAGGTGTCAGCAACCTAAGGCCCATGGGCTCGAAGCAGCCTGCGGAGGTCGTTTGACCGGCCCACGAGCCGCCCGCTCGTGCGTTGCACTAAACCAGTGTAGTGCGGGGTCTCGCTTCTGCGGCACCAAAAATCATGTTTCCACAGACGCAGAAGCTGAAAATCATGGGCGCTCTCTCTCTCACACACCATCTGGCCCACGGAGGGATCTCCGTGTGACCGATCCAGCCTAGGCAAGATAAACTTTGCTGACCCCTGTTCTACACCAGTGATGAGCCATAGGCAATTGTTGCAATGGAATCAGGGCGTGGGAAGTTTTGCATGTGACAGGGCATGACCGATTGTGGGGTTGGGCCATACACACTGCAGCCCATGGAGAGTACAGCCCCCAGGCCAGAAAAGGTTTGCCAGCTCTGCTTTGGAAGGTATATTACAATTGTCTTTAAAAATGATTTGTTGGCTGACTTTTCTGATTGGCTTATTCAATGGATATAAAATTATAACAGTCTCACTGTGTCAAATGTAAAGTTCTTTTGTAAGCTCCATGATTTGTTAAGGTTTGCTAAAATTGTGTTCTTTTAAAAGATAGTGCTTAAGCTGCTTAGATTGAAAAGTCAACACATTTGCAGTAGCACACCTATTCTGGCAAAGTTGCATGATTTTCAGATTGACTTATTGATGTAGAAGACATGGCCCTGGTAATTCTAGCTGTTAATCAAAAAAGTAATTTGTATAGTTGGAGCATCAGGAGAAGATCAATGCATTTTTTTTATTTTTTTCTCCTCTTCAATTACTCTCTCTTGTTAGCATTAAGACTGAACATTTATTTTAGCTCCAGCGATGAGCATTTATTTCCCTGTAAACAGTACAACTTTGGCAACAAATCAATGTGGAAATGCAGAAAATAATTTAAGTTCTTTTTGGAGTTCCTTGTTGAGTGATGAAACAATACTTTTAAAAAATGTGTACTGAGGGGAGCATTCTGCTGGGGCAATAAACAAACATAACCATTACTTTTGTAGAACAAACCCACCCCCACCCATTTGAGAACCTAATCTTTGGGGATTTATCTCCTGTTTCCATAGTGTTTCAGCACGGAGAGGAAAATATAAATTAAAGTAGAGCTGCAAGTCAGCCTCGGAAAATACAGATCTGATTGGTTTGTCTAATATATATCAACATTATTAGAAAGCTAATGATTTGCTTAGTGTAGTACTGGTACTGCCCCAGATCCTAAATCTAACCTGAATGTGGTTAGAGTCTAGCCACAAATGTCTGCTCAGTGAGATGGATGGCAAACATTGTTTTGCTTCCTGACAATTAGACTTAACTAATGTGCAGCTTGTGTTCTGGGTTATTGAATTTTCAGGTTTGTGGGCACACACTTGACCTCTCCTACTTAGTTTACATAATTTGGCTCGGTAACGCTTCTAGAACGGAGATGTTGGGAGTCAAGTCTGCCTAGAAATGTCATTTTGCAATCTGGGAATGAGAAATGTAATTAGAAACGAGGAGACTTCATTTGGAATCTGCTCAGGGGGATGCTAATCTATTCTTCATATGTTCTGTTGAAAGCAGCTGTCAGAACTCAACACTGGTCTTAACAGAGGGTTGGTCAATACCGTGGAGATGGCAATAGACTCATAATGGATGCCAATAGCCCCGTGGCCAGGTTCACACTCAAATTGTTAAGCACTTTGCAAGTCATAGGGGTCACTTCCTGAGTTTGCCATTGTGGCGATCACACAGGGCCCCCGGACGTTTCATGGTCTATTGACCCTGTGCCACCACTGCGGTTGCTCTCTTCGCTGCCACCACCCCACTTCTCACAGGGACACACGGAGTCCAGACAGTTGTTAACATAAACAAATAATCAAGTTTATTTTTAAGTGCAGGAATAAGCGTATGGTTTCGGTTTATTTTTCTCTTGTCAGTTTCTTAAATCTTAGTTCCTAACAACTTCAAACTGAATTATTCCCAACTATCTATCTAACTCCCTAACAATTCCTCTAACTCTCTCACAATACCACTCGACCAACCCACTGCCTATTCCACCCTCTTCCTTCTCCAACACCCAAGCCTCAACTCCCAACTGACAAACCTCAACTCCCAGCTCCCAAACCTCAACTGACTTTTCAAAACCTCCCACTCTATCTTTTACTCCCCCTTGCATTCTCACTGGCCAATCACATCACACCCATTTTAACCCTTTCCTTGACCCATCCTAGGAGGCAAACGCCACAGCCATGATCACCATCAGCAGGGAAACTCACAACATCATGCCCCCCCCAATTCATACCATGAGTTGTGCAAAGCAAGTACTATGAAAATAGGGTGATAAAGGGCAGAAATATTTAGAGGGAAGCTGTGTGTTTATCTGCTGATTTTCCTCTTTTCCACTGCAACCTTTAAAGGCCAGCAACACGATCCCATACTAATGTCAACCAATGAATCCAGTGTTTCAGGTAAATAAATAACAGTACTTGGTAAAAGTTGGAAACTGTTACAGATACAGGATCCTAGTTAGGAAATAACTTGGCAATTTTCTTCCTTTTTTTTTTTTTAATGAACTGTTTGTTACAGGTAGAGAAGGAGTCACAGTCAGGAAATGTTGACAACCTCATTAAAAACACAAGAGCCACCACAGAGTCTCCAGAAAGAAAGAAGAAGATTCATTGTGCGACTGTATGGCTGTGTGTACTTTATCTATTGGGTTTTCTTTTTCCCCATTGCAACCTTTAAGGGCTAGGATTGTCAAACTCAACTGCGAATTCCCAGCCAGCCCTGCTTCTGCACCTTTAACAACCTTACAAATTGTAGAAATCAGCTGGGGTAATTGTACAGCATGTGAATCAATATGATACCTTGCTAAGGCTCACCTGCCACCTTCATTAAATATATTTAGGCACTAGGCAGAACCATTCCTCTTCTCCTAGATCTTTGACTCATTAAATAATCTATGGTCTTTTAAACAGCATTTGTGTGGGGAAGGGTATTAGGTTTTTTGTTATGTATTTTTGTGTTTTTATATTGTAAACTGCCCTGTGATCCTCGGATGAACGTTTAGAAATTTAATAAATGAACCAGGATTATAAGAGGACACAGCAGTAAAAGTTTGTGACCCCATTAAACAAGAGCCTTGTTCGGGGGGGGGGGGGGAGTTATGATTTCTAACCTTATTTCACTTAATAAACTATCCACTCAATGGGCATAAGTTAAGTTACTTGTGAATTCTTGCCTTTCTAAATAGAGTGCGATCTCATAATAAAGAGGATATTTCTTCCTTTAATTTTCCCTTTTCAATTTTCCTTTTCAATTTCAGGTTTGTTGGATGAGGAAGTTGTAGCCATAGCATCCTCAAAAGTAATGAAATTAAAACTAAATACCTGATAGGATACCGTACCGTATCAATATTGCCTAAATAATATTTCTGTTGATGGTGTGGCCTTTAATAGCTATAGTTTTCAAGCATTCTGGAGCTTGAATGAAAATAGAAAGCCCTTAACTCAACATGTTGAACATGTTGTTTTTTTAAAAAAAATTGCACATAGTCCTTTTTTGATTTAAGAAAGAAAACAAAGTCCTAGTATTCATATTTTGATAAAAGTGTCTTGAATGCAATATATAAAAACTGTCATGGGCAGGGGGGGATGGTACTCCACATTGTCACACACACAAAAATCACTTAATCTTTGTTGACTAACCAGATTATTTTCAAGCTATGCTTCCCCCCCCCAAAAAAAGAAGTCTTGGTATAATGAATATTCTTTTCTGTAACCATTATTATATTCAAACTCTGTAGCTTTGAGAAAAGATAGAAGTAAAGAGAAACACATACTATGTTTAAGTCAAGGACAGACTTAATTTAGCAGTCTTCATGAAGACTTTAACTTTTTGTGTTTTCCATACAGCCATCAAAGAGAAATCTTGCTTTGTCAGGAACCTTTTTTTTTTTTTTTTTAAAGGCTATGGAAACAGAGCTCCATTTACTTCTGAAACTCCACTGGGCATGGCTATCAAGCACATACTAGCTAGATCCAAAGGGTTTTCCATGTGTTGAGGACTTTCCAAGGAACTCAGCTCCACCATGCCATATCAAAGCTCAGCTTTAAGTTCAGGAGGATTACGCTGGGGCAGTATTTGATTTGTGCACAGGGCTCCCACTGAAAGTAATGAACCCTCTGCAAGCACTTGATCCACTAGGTGGATGGATCTTGGCTATTTAGCTATGGCTTGTGACAGTGGTGAGTGAGCATTGCAAAATAACACTGGGCAATTGCAGGCTAGACCAGCAGTTATTTTCCACTCGTTTTTATGATAAATAATAACAGCATAACAAATAAAGAGAAAATAGGTATCTAATAGAACTGACATTGTACGTTATTGACCCAGGCTGGCAATAACAAAATCTGTTGTTATTGCAGGTGCCTTTGTTTGTGATCCCTGCAGAGAGAGTAAGCATAACCACCCTTCCCTGTTGTTTCTTTCTGATTTATCTAGAACTCTGAACAATTTGTTAATCACAGGATATTATTTAATCAGCAGGGCAAATAGTATGTGGGTGTTAAAAAGTATTTCTGAACAATACATAATTGAGCTGGGAGAAGCAAAGCAAAACAGAATAAAAAAGAGCTGAACTGGGTGGTTAATTTTTGTGTTAAGCTTTTTGCATGTTAGTGGCTGCTTCAAACACTCTCAGTTCCCTGCCCAGAAAGTACTTTCATGGAGGCAGGGTAGCTTGTAAAGTGTGAGGATCACATGTACATTGTGTGTGTGTGTGTGTGTGTGTGTGTCTGTGTTCGTGCGCGTGTGTGTGTGTGTAAGTGTAATACTTGCTTGGCATCTCAGCATGAGAACACAGCGATGATTTAATGATCATTATCTGTTATCTTCATGTGCAGAATCTGAATCTGATATTTCAGGCACACTGGCGGAGGAAGAAGGGGCAGAGGGAGATCATCGCCCCCGGCACCACGATTCCGGTGGGGTGCCATTGTGGCTGCCCCCACCCCACACTGGGCGCCATGCCCCCAGGACATGCGCCATGCCCCTGCCTGCTCTACGCCCCCCGGTGCCGGAGCATGAAGCTCTGCCACTGGTCAGACAGATGGACTGGCTTATGTGGAGCACCCTGAGTAAACCTATTTGCAAAGGTGACCTGCAGGCTCTCAAGTAGTGATAGGATACCCCACAGTTGCAGCAGGTTACCTGAGCCGTAAAGATGTTTGCTGTGCCTTGGAAGGTGGATTTCCACCTTGAGGAGATGTCAGCTGCTTCCTGCTGCAATGCTTCTTGAGCACATGTACTCTTTCTGTGGAAAGGTTCTCTTTCTCCATTTGTATGGCAAGTCTTTCAGGCATTTCATTTGCTTGAGCATTGCACGCCTGGCACTTTGGCAAGAGTCATCTAAGACTCGCGCAAAAAAAAATCTCAGGAGTGTTGCTACAACAGGAGTGTTGTATTTATTTCTACTCATATCTTACTACCTTTGTTTGCAAAGTCATGACTGTGGAAGGTGGCATAAGCAAGTATGATGATATTCATCAGTACTTTCACCTTCCTTTTAGCATGTCTGTCAAAAACTACATTTTTTAAAGTTTATATTTTTTATACAACATAGTCTGTAATTGTCAAAGCTTGAGGTTACCAGCGTGTAGATTACTGTAGCTAAATTATCCCTGTCCAGATGGGATTGTAGTTGAGTTACAAGCCCAAGCTTGTTGGAAGCCACTCTGTGGCACTCATGCTTCCTGTGCCTCAGGTGACAGCAGTGGATCCAGCAGAACTCCCAAATATGAACCCATTCTTTCAGAAGAAGCATGACCCTAGATAGAACACACCACACATCATGCAGCCGATCTACTCAGTCCTAAACACACTAGGAACTCCGATTAAAAACAGTAGACTTACTTCTGAAAAAATGTGCACTGGAGTGCACAATATGTTCTGTTCTTTCAAAGTTCCTGATATCAGAGATGGAAAATGGTACTGCATAAGTGGATTTCCTATCAGTGCTAGGCCTTGGGTTTCACATGCACGGCTCCAAACATGTCAAAGCCCCAAACAGATCAGGAGTGAGGAATCTGTGGCCCAGTGTGGTATAGTGGTTAAGAGCGGTAGTCTCATAATCTGGGGAACAAGGTTCGCGTCTCCGCACCTCCACATGCAGCTGCTAGGTGACCTTGGGCTAGTCACACTTCTTTGAAGTCTCTCAGCCCCACTCACCTCACAGAGTGTTTGTTGTGGGGGAGGAAGGGAAAGGAGAATGTTAGCCGCTTTGAGACTCCTTCAGGTAGTGATAAAGCGGGATATCAAATCCAAACTCCTCTTAAGATATCATTGACTCCAACATCCATCAGTCCCAGCCAGTGGATGAGGGGACTTTATCTATCAGCTTGTAGAGGGTCACAGTTCTCAGTCCCTGGCTTAGGTTGTTCCCTACTGAAATATTTCTTATGAATTAATGTCCATTTAGCAGCAAGAAAGCCCCAACAATAACTTGCTAGCTACAGAAATAATTTGGGTGGGAATTGAAATAATCTGCCAGGCCACTGTTTCTTTTTAAGGCATTGTGGGAGAGGATGTGCTTTAAAGACTACTTATTTATGTAATAACTCATTTCCACAAAAGCACTGTTTTTCACAGGGAAAACTTACTTCCCTCTCTCATAGAACAGGGTTGGTGATTTGATAAGGAATTGTAGGTGTCTGTAACTCAAATGCATCCAAATAATATTTATAGATGCCTCTGATCATATGTGGTCCTCTTAAACATTCCATTGGCAGCTTCAGACATTTATGCTTTCATTTAACCATATAAATGTCACTGGGACTGCCAATAAAGGCTGACAAATACTGAAAAGATTGAATTGGTTCCATAACTCAAATTGTTTTCTGCTACTAATAGTTTTTTCAAGATTTTAGATGTGAGCACTTAACAATAAACAACTTGCATTTTGCAACTTTTAAAAGAACATAGTGCTTTCCTTGTATGCACATATTAATGCTGCTTTGCAAAATGTTATTAGATAGAGATGTACATTTATTTATATTTCTTACTTTTTCACGCTCTGTTTAGCTATCCCTTCCATTAATTCAGAATAAGCTTGCAAAAACAGCACAGTAACAATTGGCAGGTGGCAATTAAGAAGCAAAATCATCACTAGTAGCCAGCTATCCACCCCTGTATCTCCGAAACAAATAGTCTAAGGATTTCGGCTTTGTTAGTCTAGCACTTTGCCCAATTGTATGTTCAGCTTTGGGTGATAAAGGTTGCAAGTTGCATTTTAATGACAAAATTGTAATAGCCGAACCACATGTAGAAGTTGAAGGGATAGCCTTACCACAGAAAAAACAACTTAACAAAAAAACCTGGTAAGAGCTGGTTCCATTTCGGTAAGTGGTTTGAAATCTCCGAAGGACATACAAATCCAACATACCTCAGGTAGAAAAGTGTCTGAATTTTCAAGAAAAGCAGACATCGACCCAGAAACATGCAGGCGATCCGAGGTGGATATATGTAATATGACAGCTAATGAGAAATAAATGTATGAGTGATCCTCCTGAGTTTCCAAAGAAGGAAATTAAGAAAGCTGTGAAAAACACTGGAGGACGGTGGAAGCCTTGTTCACCTCTCATCAACACCTAAGGGAGGATTAGGGTTAAAACCATCTGATGATTTACATTTAAATTGGAATCTTAGACACTTACTTTATCTGGCGTCCAGACTGTAAAGTCTCTGGTTATGTTTCTTTTTCTTGGAAAGGCATTCTGGAAAAGCTGTTTTAAAGCTGATATTCTCATAAGACAGCAATGACTGACGCTGTTCAGTGAGCATTTGGCTAGGAAATTTGTGTCAGACACCCTCAACCCCCTTTAAATATAGCACACAAATGTATTTGCCTTCCCCGCACCACCACCCTTGCAGAGAGAAATATTTATACATACAACAAAAGTGAAGTTGCTCCCCCATGGGGCAGGGTGGGGAATGGGATCCTTCACATTATAATAATAATTTATAATAATAATAATTTATTACGGCCGTAGGCCCATACAGATAAAAACAAGACATAAATAACAACCTGTGCACATGGGAAACCTTCACATTGAAAATTAGTGTGACCAAAAATAGCCTCTTCTTTGTGCGGGGACATTAAACAAAATACAAACCCATCCACTTGCAAGGTTAAGAGGTTCAGTCTAGGAACAACTTTACCACCTGATTCTATTAAATGTATAAATTGTGCCTTGGAAAAAGGTATATATGATATAAAAGATATACATGAACGGATATCACCCAAAGGAGTAGGAAGGCAGGGATGTAGATCTCATTTGAACATGCATGTCCAGAAATGGTCTAGAATCTTTTAGAAGGCAAGGAATTCTGGGTTTGTGCATGTGCTCTGTTTATGTGCCCCATCACTAGAGACCTTTTCAAGACAGCCCACTTTCTGAAGTTAGGCAGATGAACTTTTTGACCAGGCCACTTCAACTGTGCAAGTCTACCTGACATAGCTGCATCACTCAGGGCAGCTTTCAGCATTTTATAATTGCTATACAGTAAAAAATAGTGTTGCATGCCACACTCAATCTCCACAGCAGTGTGGGAGTTTCAGGCGCTTACCCAGGATCTGCATTTCCTTTTGGAAATGAGGCACAGCAGAGACAGTGGTGTCTTTATGATATATGGTTTATTTACACAGATATACAACCAGAGCCTGGGGGGGGTGGGTCTTCAGTTTTAAATTTGAAGAAGGTCTTGCCTTCTCCATAAGCACAGGATTCAAACAGCCACTGGTCATTTTTCTCTGCCTTCTGCACTCTGCTTGTCACATAACCTCGTTCAGCGTCTGACCCCAACATTACTGCTGTAAACTCCTGGCTTTTATAACACAGGGAGAAGCCCTTTTCCCTTTGTTTCTTTAATACAAAGGAACTGAGTCAGCATGAGTCAGCGGCCTACAATGAATCGGCAAAGCCTGCATGACTTATGCAACCTTTCACCAACATATGCCTGTTCCATGGTACCTCGGGTTACATACGCTTCAGGTTACATACGCTTCAGGTTACAGACTCCACTAACCCAGAAATAGTACCTTGGGTTAAGAACTTTGCTTCAGGATGAGAACAGAAATCGCGCAGCCGCAGCACGGCGGCAGCGGGAGGCCCCATTAGCTAAAGTGGTGCTTCAGGTGAAGAACAGTTTCAGGTTAAGAATGGACCCCCGGAACGAATTAAGTTCTTAACCCAAGGTACCACTGTATATATAGAGTGGTCATTGATTGTGTGTAGTGTGGGTTGGTGGGTTGGTTGGTAGTTAGTTAGTTAGTTGGCTGAGTTTGGTGTGTGTAAAATCTGTCAGTTTTGGTTAGATAAGAAGACTTTTAAAGAATAAAAGCAGCAATATTCTGCAAAGAGCCAGTGTGGTGTAGTGGTTAAGAGCGGTAGACTCGTAATCTGGTGAACCGGGTTCGCGTCTCCGCTCCTCCACATGCCGCTGCTGGGTGACCTTGGGCTAGTCATACTTCTCTGAAATCTCTCAGGCTCACTCACCTCACAGAGTGTTTGTTGTGGGGGAGGAAGGGAAAGGATAATGTTAGCCGCTTTGAGACTCCTTCGGGTAGTGATAAAGCGGGATATCAAATCCAAACTCCTCTTCTTCTTCTTTCTCAAGGACTCTTTTGTGCCAACTAGGGTCCAAGGACAAGGCGAAGGAGTCAAAGGAGGTCAGAGCCTTTTCTTTTTCAAACACTACACAACCACAATAACAACTACCAGTTGTTGTTTTTTAATGCTGATTTTTATTGTGCAGCCTGTGTGATTGAGTTTCAAAATTTGATTCATTCGAATTGTATTCAAGATTCCTGTCCAGGAGTCTGACTTATCCTTTAAGTTGTGGTGAAACCCTGTGAATCATATTCACTTGCTTTTATGTTATAATGTGAATGTTATGAAACAGCTAAATTCACCTATAGACTCTAAACATGGGGATTTCCATATTACTCAGCATTCAGATATTGAAGGTGGGCGTAGAGCACAACCCACTGATCTCAAAAAGCTATTCACTGGAAGATAATCCATCTGTGCTTTCTATTTCTTGTTACACTATCTCAAGGGGCAGAAGCATATTGGAAGATCTTGTCTAAGGCCAGTACATTTGTCAGGGATTTTGTAGCCATATACACTATCAATTCAAGTTTCCTGACTTTGGATGCATCAACTGCACTTACTAGAGATATTAAAAATGCATAGTGTTTCCTTTTGCTCTGAAGTTTGCCTGTAATCAGAAGCTGATCTAGGTTTTCTGTATAATTCATAACTCAAAAACTAAAAATCCTTCCTTTGGCTTCTGTGATGTTTTTCTGCCTTCTGTGAGGTGATTCTTGGTACT